TGTGGCTTCTCGGGATAGACATCGGTAGTATCCGAGACACTCTGAAATGCATCTGCACTAGAGTTCTTGGGTTGGGGTTTTGGGATTATCAACCCTAAACCCTAAACCCTAAACCCTAAACCGATTATCATGGTTCAACTCCGACTCGCAGGCCCTACAAAAGGCTCTCTCCTTTTCGAAGGGGGCGAGACTTACAGAAGCCCTTAAGCTTAGGCACTACACCCTAAACCATTGTGGGCTTAGGGTTTAGGGTTTAGCTAGGAGCCCATAATCTTAGGCACTACACCCTAAACCATTGTGGGCTTAGGGTTTAGGGTTTAGCTAGGAGCCCTTAATCTTAGGCACTACACCCTCAACCATTGTGGGCGTAGGGTTTAGGGTTTAGCTATGGAAGAAGAGAGGCAACTTAGGACGCGCCAGGGACGCGCGCCAGCCATGGAGCTTGTACGGAAGCCTTCGGAAGCAGAGGAAGAGGTCAGCACCTGAAAGGCCTAGAAGAGAGGTTTAGGGTTTAGGGTTTAGGGTTCAAGGGCGAAGGCTCGGGATGATTGGGCACTACACGACGCCATGTATGGGACAGTGCCTATGGTGCCGACCATGCGCAGACGGGATCCACAAGACATGGGAAATCCCCCTTGTCATATCCCACGACCACACCGGTGCAGATTCACTTGACCGTGGCCGAGGAGCTGGAACAAGATCCAGATGGGTAGTTGTCAAAAGAATGGTCCCTTTTGGGTACCCTACATAATAGGTGCCGTATTATAATAAGGACCCGAAAAAGGGACCATAATTTTGACAACCACCTAGATGAGGTGCCGACCATCAAGGTGTAAACCATTGCGCGTGCCTTTCATGCTCCCAGAGAGTCGAGCACCACGTAATCTGCCTATAGTCTCCATTGTAGTTCCTTTTTGGGGTTGCCTGTTTAGGATCCTTAATTTCAAATTGGTTAAACCAAAAAAAGGAACTACAATGGAGACTACAGGTAAGAGCCGAGGGGCGAGCTGCTTTTCAGAGCTTCAGCATCGGCGGAAATGATGGCAAGAACCAGCAAAAATGGCCTGAGCGAAAAGCAATAATAATAATACTATCCCCTCATCGTCCTAATCCCTTCCTGGTCGAAAGGATCCCCGAACCCGATTCTGGTCCATAAGGCTTCGGTATTACACCTTAGGCTGACAGTGCTGCTCGATACGTGTAAAACCCCTCAAGCTTCGCTGTGTTTCCTAGCTGCTCAAAGTCGGGCAAAAAGTCCCTTAACCCTGGTTTAGGGCTTAGGGTTTAGGGCGCTGGCCCTGAAGCCAAAGCCTGAAAACGCCGGTAGTTTTGCCGGTAGTGCCATTTCTTCTTCATCTGGCCATAGTTTGACTTTTTGGGGCATTCCCAAACCGTATCCGACTTCTTTAGGACACCTCCGAACCCGCAACTCCTGGATCCTAAGCCTATCACCTCTCACGTCCTTGGAGGCCCAAAACACCGCTGACTCAGGCGCCCTTGGCCGCTTCGCAGGGGCTGCGGGCTCCAGATCATGCAGTGACTGCTCAGGGGGCTTCTATGCAGAGCCTTGGCTTGTATTCACTGTATTCATGCTCGTGTACTGGTAAAAGTTAACTCCGTCAGATACTTTCAGAAATTGCTAGCTGTTGACTGCGCAGAATGGCGGTTTACGCATCGGAAAGCAGTTGCAGATGGCATACCTGATGGTGATTGAAACACGATGCACAAACAATGGCCAAAGTAGGCAACCATGGCTGGGAACACCCGGAGAGGCCAGCCCGAAACAGCGACAGTCATCATCACGACTCTTCTTCTTCTCTCCTCCTGCTCCTCCTCCTCCTCCTCCTGTTCTTCCTCTGCTTCTACTTCGGCCTGTGCTGCCACTGATGCTCCTCCTCCGGGCCGAAGTTCTACTCAGCCTGTGCGGCTGTTACCACACATGACCATTTCCAGCACTCCCCTGCGATCACGACCATCACTGTTACCTCCACTGTCACGACCTTCACCTCGACGAACTTGTCGCCTGTATTGCCACCACCACTGACCATCACTCCGATCATTGCAAGTCCAGCATACACACACACACACTCTCTTTCATCTATCTGAATCTATCTATGTATCCATCTATCTATCTGTTTGTCTGTCGATCTGTCTGTCTGTCTATCTGTCTGCCTATCTATCTAACTTTCTATCGTTCTGTCTCTCTATCTGTCTGTCTGTCTGTCTGTCTGTCTGTCTGTCTGTCTGTCTGTCTGTCTGTCTGTCTGTCTGTCTGTCTGTCTGTCTGTCGATCTGTCGATCTATCTATCTATCTATCTATCTATCTATCTATCTATCTCTGTCTCTCTCCATCTATCTATCTATTCACCTATCTATCGATCTATATATATATATATATATACATTCATTTGTTCAAACAGGTTCAGACACGCATGAACGCACATTATAGATATAGGTAGATGCTCGTAGGTACACGCATGCGGTGGTGCTGTCGGCGATGGCCGGGTAGCAGTTATGAGACTACCGACAGCATTTGCAGGGGCACGACCTGTGATAATTGTAGTAGCATTACTTGTGAGATTCCCTTTGTCGGCACCTCATGTGTCCCAGTGTGTTCGCTGGCGGTAGCAGTTGTTCAAGTACGGAAAGTTCTTTGAATGCCTATACGCTGTAACCATATAGAATGACACAGCATCTTTTTATTCTATGATAGTGGCGTGAAAGTGTATTAGTTTTAATCTTACGTGAGCAGGACGTACAGCAGTGCCAATCTGCCATGATGTAGCCAAACCTTGAACGAGACTACCTTAAAGATTTGACTCAGTGCGAGAATTTTCGCTGTCTCGGTTGGCTTCTAGTTTCTGGCGTTTCTGATACCGTTGCTGATCTTTGGTCCCGAGTCGGTATGCCAACATGAAGATGGGATATAAAGTATGTCAGACATTCGGGGACATCGTTTTGTGGTCGGCTGAAGGTTGGATCGGGTTTCTCACTATTTAACCACTATTTGTAGCTGCCCAGGGCATGGCACAATCCTGCAACCACTCGACATAAGGCCATTTGAGCACGTGTCATGCTCAAGAGTTGCCTTGACCAGCGCCCAAAACGTCAGCCCGAGTTGTGGGAGTCAAAGCTCTCGCCCCACCCCCTGGGGTCTGCCCAACACAGGAGGAGTACATCCGGAGCCCGGTGCCGAGCTCCTAAACCCTACCTATACTCTCCATTGTAGTTCCTTTTTTTGTTTAACCAATTATATAGTAAGGATCTTATAAGGACTCCCCCAAAAAGGAACTACAATGGAGACTACAGGTAAACCCTGCATTTGCAAGCCCTAAGATGAAAGCCCTTTGTGCCCCAGAACCTGAAGCGGCTCAGAGCTTCAAAGGAGAAGCCGAAACAGGCAACAAGAACGCTTGTTAAGGAGAGCCCCCCGAAAGCCTGTGCCCGACAAAGCTTGCATAACCGCCCGGAATTGGTAGACAGGATAGCACCGGGAAGACGCAGTGCTCGCCGTGCAGTGCCGGAACTTCTTCCGGAGAAGGAAGGGATGCAAACGGGGTGGGGAGGGGGTGGGGGACTTCAACAGTTTCATTGGGGTTCCGAAAGTGGATGCTTCGAGTCATTAGGCGATTCCGGGGTCAGAAACGGTTCAAGATTGCTGGCCTGTTCATACTAGCGGTGGCTTGGCGGGTCAGAGGTTCTGTGGTGAGCTTGGCTGCAACTTCAAGCGCAAGCTAAAACCTCCCTGGCAAAACAGAGCCCATAAATCCAACGAGCTTCCGAACGCGATCAAACGTTGCGTGGGTCTTGTTGTTTGTTCTTGGTAGAAGAAACTATCATACCGAGACTTGAGGCTGAACTTTGCTGAGGCTAGGCCTGCCTATGCGCAGTTGCCCGGGCGATGCGTTTATGCTGAGCCCCGGTCACCCTGCCACTATCTGACAAGCTGCGCAAGGGCTTACAGCACGGTCTGAGCTCATATCGAAGTAATCTGACCTAGATTTCCGAGTTGCTCCAAGAACTCAACGGGTGTGCGGGAGGTTGCTCGTGCGACAGTCAGAAGGAAGGTTTTATATTCTCGGCAATATTCATCCCAGCAGGCAGAGTGGTATGCCGTGTCTTTGCCCGCGAAGCCCGGATCCGCAATCCGCCCCAAGTGTCCTAGACAAAGAAGATTTGCGCCTTGCCATAGGCCCCATAGTAGTTCCT